TGTGTGTGTGTGTGTGTGTGTGTGTGTGTGTGTGTGTGTGTGTGTGTGTGTGTGTGTGTGTGTGTGTGTGTGTGCGCGTGTGTTTTAACTGCTGTGTGTTGTCACGTTGCAGCCTGTGAAGTGTTGCTGGGCTCAGAAAACCTGATCTGTAAACCATGTAAGTTCCTCGCCTTTGTCGTCATAACCGTAAACATGTGTGCATGCGCGTGTGTTTTCTTGCCAGATAATGTGAAAATAAGTAATAATTAATAACTCGTTTTAAGTGCTCAACCATTACCAATTGGACTCGGATCCCATTTTATGACCAGTTTGTAAGTCATTCCAAAGAGCTGACGTCAAACGTTCATGAAGCTGTCTTTAAGTAATATACTGCATCTTCACGGTGGGGCGGAACCCCTGCGTCCAAATATGGTCGGTGTCTTGTTTTTAACAAACCGGCGCCATTGGTCTGTTATTTTTGCAGTTTTTCAAGGAATTGAAAGTGTTGAAAATAGCTTGAGAACAAATCAGTGAACTTACTGCGCGAGAAGCGTCATCAAGCCACCTTTTGCTCGCTCTTCGGGAGCTGCGTGGCATTATGTCGCCTCAAGATCGTAAGTCTGGATGTTTTGTTTTGTTTTTTTGGACATTAAGGCATCAAAGTGTTTAGGTTAGATACACTGGAGTAGGTCTGTCTTGTGTGGGGTAGCTGTAATGTTTTGGTGCAGAAGCAACTAGTCAGGCACGAAGGGAAGCGCGAAGCGATTCATTTGCGCTTGAAAAGGAGTGGTCGCGGTCGATGCGAGGGTTGCGCCCGGTAGCAAAAATATACTCAAACAAGACTTTGTGTTTCTTTGTTGGCGCAGTTTGGAAGCCGAAGATGCTGAGCGTGTCCCAGCTGGGCTCCAAGCTCCATGTCAGCTTCGAGCAGGCCCCGCCTTCCTTCGCCTTCCATCTCTACTACGTTTACTACAAGCTGCGCCAGGACGGACCCTTCCGACTGCAGCGCTGCAAACCCGTACGAGCGCACGGAATCAGAACCTTCCCCATCCCCCCATCCTGCTCTCAAGTTCTTCATGTTCAATAAATTGTGTTGGCAGGACGCGAACCAGCTGAAGACCACCTGCATCCTGCAGGACGTCACTCCGGGGACCTACACCATCGAGGTACGTAAATGCTCCTCCGCTTGTCAACGTGAGTTGCTCGTCACCTTTGCGATGCAAATGTTATCTTTTGTGCCCCAGCTGCGAGACGAAAGCAACACCACCAGGAAGCAGACACAGTTTTACGTCAGCCAAGGTGAGATGCTTATTTAATTGACAGCAAATTTTGGTTTTTATTATTAATATTTTTTGTGTGTATATACATATATTTTTAATAGTATAATTATTTGCGTATTTTTTTTTGGGGGGGGTACGTATGGCTATATTTCTATGCATACATATTTTCTAAATTTCATAAATAAAATTCTACACTTGGTTCATCCTAAAAATGACATCATGAAATTTCTGGTGACTTTTTTTTTTTTTTTTTTTTTTTTTTTTTTCGCCCT